ATTTCATTAAAAATTCTTCTACCGTACTAAGGACAGTATCAAATTTCTTGTAGAAAGAACCAAGAGCACTTTCTAGAAGTTCAATATATAGGATCCGAGGGAGTGGTAATTTGAATTTGATTCAAGGATATATTGGGAGAAAAACTCGTTGATTACACCTCAAACTTTGAACTGATATTCATATTTAGGGACAAAACAAATTTAAAATCTGAAACTTACAAATAGGGATGAAGAGATTATAATGTAAGTGAAGTGATAGAATAGAAACTTGTAATAAAATTTTGGCTTTCTTGATGAAGTAATTCTTAGTTAGAATTCATGCCAACTTCCACCAAACCTAGTCCAACACTATTTTCCATATGCATTAATTCCCACAAGATACCCATGAGTCATTCTAATGGACAAATAATCTTGAACAAATAATGAATTGAACTACTCCTTGCTTCTGATATATAATCTAAGTCATTTTAACTATTTCATCAGAACTTAAAAAACTTGTAGTTATTTTATTAAATCTATCTCAAATTTAAATTTTTTTCCTAACTTTACTCATATTAAATAATGTTACGATTTTTAAGTATTAATTATAGGGACAAAATTGATAAATAAAAATTGATCACTCTTCAAATGATTTATGTTTTGAATCAAACCATTTTTCTAGAAACGATTTATATTGTAACTGGAAAAAGCGTCTTATGTCACTTCTCATTTATTGCTTCTTTATTGCAAACGAACTCATATCATGTTATCAAGAAAATGATAACTAGAAGCAAAGTGAATAACAAGAAATTTTCTCATGCTTTTTCTTTCTTTTTCCCCAGGCTATTGGATGGCGTGAAAATTTACAAATAACATGGTGCTAAAAGAGTTGGCCAACATGAATTTTAATTTTCACTCTCGGCGGCTTCTTTGTTTCATATGCATTGATTAATGCGAGAACTTTCAAACTGGGTTTCATATATAATGGGCATAGATCTCAATGTTGTTGCTGTTATTAATTCTTGTCGTACTACTTTATTGGAGTTTTGCGTTTGTCTTGTTAATGAAGTATTAAAGTTTGCATTTCTTTTTACTTTTTTTTTTTCAGAGTTCATGTTTGAATGCAACAAGTTCGCATATATATGTGTGTGGAAAATATTTAGGTCAAATTATTTATATTCATTATGTCAAGTTCTCCAATCACTTATAACCATATATTTTATTTTTTTAATTTAGATTTATAATTAAAAACTATTAAATGCTAATATTTTAAAATATAACACATGACTATGTGGAATTAGAAAACTTAATATAATGAATATAACAAACTTGATGTAAGCATTGGCTTATATATAAAATAACTTTTAAAAAAGATATTTTATAGCCATATCTATAAGAGAAATTAATAGCCTACTTTAAATTTTTAGCATTATTTTTTTTTTATTTTTATCTATCTCTTAAGCATTGGCTCGTATGTTCGTGTTTCTCACACTCTCTCTCCCCACATAAATATATAAAGATGCTTTTAAAAAACAAATTATATTTTTTACATACATTTATTGCTTTTTATTAATTTTAATAAACTTCATCTATATAAGTCAATTATTTGTATCTTATAAAAAATTAAAGGGAATATTTATTTTTATTGTTGGCTTCCAAAGTGATCCTAGTATGAAGTGGCGTACTAAATTTTCAGTTACATAATAATTCTACATCTCACAAATTTGATTATGTTCGAGATTTTTTATAATATTTTTTGACCAGCAGATTTTTTATAATATGATATTATATAATTATTTGAAGAGTAATATTTTATGGATTTGATTGAAAATTAATCAATTAAACTTGTGACACGTAAGAAAATACACAAAACATTTTCAAAAATAACTGATAATTACATTTTCGGAGGATCAAAAGAGTGATACTGACATCCAATTACCATACATAGGAGGATTAAAAGACCAAAAATCACATAATGTTTATTTATAAAAATATTTATTTCTTAAATATATATAACATTGAAATCCTATGAAATTATATACTAAAATTATGATATACTCTGAGTGAAAGTGAGTATTTTAGACTTATATGTGAATAAAAATAAGGGTATACAATAGTGGCAGAAAAAAATCGATTATATATTGTTACATCAATTGATAAATGAATTGAATTGTTAATTATGAAGAATGAAATCACAAATTTCAACAAGTTTGATTAACAACTTCTTAAAATATATAAAAAGGTAACGCGCCTCCGCCGCTCGCAATTCAGATACAAACAATTTAACGGTCACTTGTTTCGACATGAGAAGCGGTGTGGCTATGAATTATGATATAGATTTAAAATTTTTAATTAATTATTTTTTAAATAAAAATATTTTAAAAAATAATATTTAAAAAATTATTTTAATTTTACATTTTATGTCCATTAAAATAATTATTTTAAAAAAAAAAAAAATCAAATTTAGATTATCTAGACCTAATGAGTTTAGATACTTCATTAATTTTCTCTTGGTAGGTACTCAAACTCATTTCCAGACTTCATCTTCTTTGCCTTTCATTTTATTTTTTAAAATTAATATATGCATACACACAATCTAATTTTAAAGGTAAATTAGTAATCGATAAAGATTCGTTAAAGCATTAAAATAATTATCGTGAAATTGAATCAGTTTTTATTATTATGTCAATTTATCGTAGGATGTTAACAAAAAAATAATTAATCTCAAAGAGTTAATGATCCATCTGTAATTGATTTTCTAGGAAAAAAAAATCGTAATTGAATCGAGATCAACCCAATTATCATAAAATAATATCTTTTAATTTAAATATAAACTTATATATATAACTGTGGAAATAATAACATTTAAATAAAAAAGCATCAATTAACAAGTAAATGTAACAATCATTAAGAAACTACATGTAATCTAAAACAAAGTTATCAAAATACAAAGCAAATGTACTGTTATTTTTCTTAATTCAAAATGACATCGTTTTACCAAGATCAAAAAGAAAAATGACATCATTTTAGGCTTAGTATAAAGGAAAAATAAAATATAAAACCAAAGATCAATTAGCGAGGTTTTGGGCCAATACAAGAAGAACTGCTTACTTATATCATGATAGAAAAGTTAGGAATCCACTTATGTAATAGAGTTGATCCCCTAAAGTTTTGAACCTAGTTAACCTATCCAAAAACTTTTGATTATATCAACTAATAAGAGGCTAGTTCACCAATTCACTAGCATGTCCAGCTAACTTGAGTTGGATTTTAATATTATGAATATTTTTCAATTCAACTAGCGGGTGGCATTTCTCTTTTTTTTTTTTTGCATGCACGTAGTTTCTCTTTGGGCTAAAAAAAAGATACCTTTTCTGTGTAGAGTTTGAAATGAACTGCACGCTTGAATTTATGTGTATTCGTATATTTATTACACATGTGATGGCACATTTAGCCATAGTCTTATTAAAGGATTAAATTAAATATTGTAGCAATCTTCTGGAATAGTTGTCTTCTATTTTTTTGTTGTTTTATAGTCAGAAAAGGCACTAAGATTTGTTTACCATACTTGTTGGTAGGTTGTTTTGTATATTATTTTGTGGTTGAATTATTATACATAACGTTCACAACAAAACAAAGGAAACTTCAAGATGTTAATGAGCTGTATAATATACGATTTAAGCAATATAATTAATTCATATAACTAAAGTACATTTTGTGGAACAATAAGTCAAAAAGTGAATTCACAAAATTACAAAAATTAATTTAAAACAATACGAAAAAGTATGTGGCTGTTCTTTATATGTGTGTGTGTGCGTGTGTCATATTTGTTCTTCATCTCTCTTCATTATTCTGCAGGAGCGTCCTCGTCTCCTCTTAAATCAGAATCATACTTTCGCTTCCAAGTGAACTGTGATCTCATAATTCTTCAGGTCAGTGATTTTCGTTTCCTTCATTGAACTCATAGTACGGAGATTGCTTCTTTAATTTTATTTCAAAGTTAGCTTCATTATATATAGTTTCTTGCTTGTGTTTTAAGGGTTTAATTAAGCTTCAATTAATCTTCAATGGCGGATAATTGCTATGCATTTTGGTGCTTCTTGTTTCTGACATTTTTTCTTGTGTGTTGCTCAACTTGCTTTTTGTGTTTGTCATGAGAAAAATATCGTTCACTTACGTGCTGGGGGCTTTGATAATTAACCAGGGAAAATGTAATTACTTAGAGATAAACGAGTTTTCCGTTTTCTTTTTTCAAATTACTTATGATTAACATTTCATTATATTTAAGTATTATTAAATTTAATTAGAGTATCACTGATAACATTTTAAAAAAAAAAAAAAGGAATCTCAATTGAATCCTATGCAGTTCAAATATCAAAATTTAAACTCAAGTATACATCATTGACAGATTCCTAATAAAGCCAGGACAACTAATTATAGATTTTAAAATATTTTAAAATGATCATATTGCCCCTAAATATTTTTAAAAGCAAATTCTTTTTACCCAAAGTCACAGCCGCCAGCGACTAGTCGCCACTGGGGCCATCATCAACAGCCATTGTTCTTGCGTCGGCAGCCAGTTGCCGGTAAAAGGGGTGGATATGAAGGGGAAAATGTGAGGGACAATATGATCATTAACAAGATTCTAAAATTCTTAATTAGTCCTCTTGATCTAAAAGATTTTGTTAAGAATTGTGGACTTGAATATGGTTTTTAGTGTTTGTTTGGATTTAATTAGGATTTTTCTTCTTTATTTTTTGTTTACGAGATTTAAATTGTCACCAATTTATTGATTAATTAATCTCTAAATTTGTTTCATTTAATTCATATTTAATACTCTTCTAGTCATAAATATAAATCTGTTTTATAGTGTAAGTTATACTACAAAATGAATGCATCATCAAGAGAAGTACTAGAAATTGGAGAAAGTGGTAGACAGAGAAATAGAGAGGAGCAAGTAGTTTCTTCGTTGGAAGAAGAAAGAGAGAAGTCACGGAGGGCTCGCTACTATTTTGGCCTCATATTCTTCTTCATCAATCTCCTTGCTTGGTTTGTTCGTGACTATGCTCAACCCTTCTTATCCAATCCCCTTCATTGTAAGTGGTATTTTATTTCTTTCTTCTTTCTTTAAAAGTAATTATTGACTATCAAATACTAAATATAAGAATTAAATAATTAATTAGTAAACTAGTTATTTTTTATTTGTAGAAAATGTGTATTGGTTTTGATAAAGTATCCTTTTAAATTATTTATATGTAAATTATTTTCTTAATGAAACAACCCTTAATATATATGTCCAGTTAATAGGGAGAGATTGAAAAAAAAATTATAAATAAAATGAATTGAAATATTATATTTAAAATTAAAGAAAATATTAAATGGAGCAAGGCATAGAGTTTGTTTTGATTTGTAATATCTTAAAGTCATTTTGTTTTCTAAATTTATTAATTTCTTGGAAAAATTACTGTGCAGTCTCAAATAAGCAATTTAATCACTAAAATGTCCTATAATAAGTGAGCAACATGCAATGACAAGTTCAAATATATGAAATGATAATAAAGGCATATTTATCACTTTAATAATTAGATTACTTATGTGAGATTGTATCATGATTTGTTCTAATTTCTCTTCACAAATCATTCTATTGATTGCATCTGTTAAAAGAAAATTTCAATTCATATGCGAGTTGTTTTCAATGCACATGATTATTAAGAAGACATCTTAAAAAAAAACGAACAAATTTTTTTAAATAATTAAATTACTTATATAATTCTTATATTTACGATAAGAAAAATATATATTAATTTTTTTCGCTGCTTTGTTTTGTTTTCCCCCCTTTCCGCTACAGATATTAAGGCATGCGGGATTGGAGGGCAAGATTGTCTTTATACATTGGGAGTTCTTCGCGTGAGTTTAGGGTGTTATGTATCTTTCAGGCTACGCATTTTTTGCTTGTGAGCATCCATTATATGCTTGATTTTTTTTTGGCCAAAGTTATATGCTTGATTCGATCACATAACTTTTTAATAAAAATTATTAAATTAATTTTACTTATAATTCTATAGTACCCATCCAAAGAATTTTCTTAAATATAATTTATATCACTTTTCAGTTTTCTTTATATAACTATCTAATATTCAGTATTCTATTATGTGAAATTCAAGTATTATTAAACTCAATTACGGTAACTTTCTCAAAAATATTTGTTTGCATTCATGCCAAGTCTTCAACTTCAATTTAACTTTATAATTATGACTAAGATACTATTAATCAAAATCTTTTAATTTAATCATGGTCAAATTTTGTATCATCTAACATATATATATATAACATTAAATTCATGAATAGTATTTGATTAAAAAATTAAAGTTAACTTAAATTGTATGGAAATTTTTTAATTTAAGAAATATAAATGTATATATTAAAAATAATTATGAAATAATCCATATTCACTATATAAGTTGGAAAAATGATACAATTTTATTATTTCAAGTGCAATTTTACCTTACAAAAATAAAATTATTATCTAAAAGTATCATAACAAATTTATTGTGCACACCACTATTCATATATCATTAGAATTCTCAACTGCAGAAGAATTTTACCATGGCATTTTCTACCTTCAGATATAATATTTCTAAAGTGAAGATGCACATTATTATTCTTACAAAATCTAATTCTATTATTAAAACTCAAACTCTTTGGTAATTCAAATTATCTATCTTATCATGTGAACAGTGATCTTTGGACTTTTGTTTGTATTTAAATATTTGAGTGATAGTGTAATTTTACTTGGAATAATTTCAAGTTAAATTTAAATCCGATAGTAGTTAATTAAATTTCATTTTCTGACTTCACTATATGTTATAGTTGTTTGAGAACCAAATGGATCCTTGACAAATAATTCAGATATTTTTCACAATAATGTTTGTGAGTACAGTGGAAACCAGAAAATTACATGAAGCTTGCAATTCATGGCATTGTGGATGGTGGGGATTCAAATTTATTTTATTGCTTCTATCATTGGCCCTCCCTTTCTTCATGCCTTCCCAAATTGTTCAAATATATGGTATGTTTCAAATTTATTTATGTTGATAATAAATAAATTTTATCTTTATAAAGTCCCTTTAATATCTTACATTTCTTGACAACTTATATGTCGCTTGATCAGTATCCAAATCAGCTTTAATTAAACAGATTATATGAGTATGAAGACTAATACTTATAATCAAGAAAACGATAATGACACAATAAAAAATGTCAATGACCTAATTAAAAATGGAATGAAACTATAGGAACTGATAAATTAATTTTCTTTCATGTGTTTAAAATAGTGTGGGTCTCGTGCACTAGACAAAGTCTAAAATCATAACTATATTGTTCATTATAATTAGTTAATTTGATTACTCTCTATATCTACATTTTAAAAGTTCACTTAATATCTACATTTTTTTCACCTCTGGACGCTTTCCTTACTCCCTTTTTTTAAAAAAAAAAAAAACCACAGACAAAATGATATTTATAGTAAAAGTACTTATAAGTTACAAATACTTAACATTCCTATGTTGGCAAAACTAAAAGTAAGAAAATAAGGTTTAGAGATAACAGCAATATAAAATGAACAGAAATTATGAATAAGGACAAGTATTTCTTGTCAAGTGATATTGAGAACAGAAAAGTCATTAGGAGAAAACTGAAGAAATTTCTTCTCAACACAGTAAACTTATATAGAGAGTTTGTCTATAGTAATATGTAGGTTGGTGTTATATATTCATAGAAGAGCAGCTCACAAGTATTTGCGGTGGAAAGCAAACTCTATAGAAGATTGGTTTTGTCATAAAAATTCTTTAAGGGCCGTCCCCTCATGGCAAATAGTACTATGATAATAATATTTCCTTATTTTTCCATATTTAAAAAGTAGCACATCCCAACCATCTTTGTTCAAGCACAAATGAGAAAAGTCATGAAGGAAGTACTTATATTATTTTCATGTTACGATTACTCTTTTATTTAATTTTCGTTTTTGAAAAATGAATTATTCTCTATGCAGCTGGGGCATTAATTCTAACAAAAAAATGCTAATTTAAATCGGATCGGCCCTTAAGCCCAGAGTTTGCTTGACCCATATAAAACTTGAAGCCCAATGCACAAAAAGTCTTACTCACAAATGTTTTCGTTATTTTCTTAAAATTTGATTAAGTATGAACAAGGGCATTGTAATTATCTTGCAGGTGAAATTGCTCGTATTGGTGCAGGGTAAGCTCCAAGTCCTTCATTTAAAATAATGAATATTGCAAAGTAATTGAAATAATGAAATTTATGTAAACAACAACAAAATAGTTTTTTTAAAAGAGGATTTCATCAGTAATTTTTAATTTGATTATTTTGTTTTTTATTGATTCAGAATTTTTCTCCTTTTACAACTTGTGAGTGTGATCCATTTTATCATGTGGTGGAATAAATTCTGGAATCCTGATGAGGAAAGAAAAAACAGGTACATATGGAATTTTTCTTTTTCTTTTTTACAATTATTAGGTCATATGGGATGCTTCCAAGTAATTCATAATTGAACATTGTTGGTAGGATTGAAAATAGGCCCAGCTCTTATCAGAAACTTATGGACTAAATTATTTTAAACCTAACATAGTCTGTTTAGTAAATGTCTCAGGTTTAGGTTTAATCTTACTTTCAGGTCTATTTAGGCAAACAATATAGGCTTACTTTCATAATGCTTAGCTTGCAAACTTACAGACCATACCCATTTAACTTTTTATTTATTTACACTAGTATATATAATATAATATAAATCAATTTTATAATTTATTTATAACATGACTAATTTAAGCTCAATCCTAGGGGTTGTTTGGAATACCCTAGAAGAACTTAAAAAAAGTACTTTAATACAAACCGAGACAAAACTCTCTTACATACTTACCTCATATTGTAAAATTACTTTTGAAAAGCTAAACCAAACACGCTAAGTTTCACATGTTGGGAGAGTGATCCTACTAAAACTTGAAACTCTTGTATAATACTCCTCTGGTCCTTAATATAGGACCTAATTCTTGAGTTGGTTTTGGTCTTAAATATAAGACTCATTTCTCATATTTATCAATTTTCTCTAAATTACCCCTATAGATACTCTCTCAACCATAATCTAGGGTATTAAGAAAGATGATTATGGTGTTTTGGAAAAAATATGTCCATTTTCTTATAATTAACTAACTTACCTAACTTTCTTAATCTAATCAAACTAGTTAAATGGGTCTTATATTAAGGACCAGAGGAATAATTCTTTTGGGTTAATATGCTTTTTGATTCTGAAATTTGAGTTCTATTTTAATTTTACTCTCTCAAATTTCAAACCTGTAATTTTTGTTTCTAGAATTTAATATGTCTTAACATACTAGTTCTTATAGGTGCAACGATATTAAAATCTACTAGAATGTTATAAGCATCATTAAAATAGTAATATAGACGCATTAGACAACACTTGACTAACAAAAGCAAACAAAATAACTAGTTCTTAAATCACAACAATTTAGCCCACCATTCTTGAGTTATTATTTACTGTGTTACATTTTGAAAACTCATCCCTATCTTTATAATCATTCTCTGCGTTGTGCTTTGAGGCCATGTTTTTCTTTCTTTCTTTCTTTCTTCTTCTTTTTTTTGTTATCCATATAAGATCCAACTTGGTGCTATATGATGAGTTTACATTTTTACTTTAACATTGTTTATGACATTGTAGCAAATTTTAACACCGTTACATCTCTAAAGACTAACATTTTAAAATGAACTAAATTCTAAAGTTTAAAACCATGAGCTTGATATTTAAGAGATCATAATCAATGGATCCAGATTTTAGGATCTGAAAATTATATTAACCCCATTTTTTCCGGACAATTTGACACCCCTCCCTCCATAATGGAGAGAACCCACACACTCAGCGCGTGCACACATCGTGATTATTTTGGCAGCACAAGGCATAGAATTCCCGAGCTTTTCTATGACAGAAGGTATGGAGAGTTGTGAGAGGTTCTTAGTTTATAAACCTGATAATATAGATTTAGTTTGCAAACTCAACTCACCAACTCGCGATCGAGTTGATAGTATATTAGAATTGGCATTTTGTCAGCCTGTCAAGATACAGGCTATTCTAACATGTATCTTATAAGTCGTGAGTGGCAGTAAACTAGTATTGCCAGCTCTAAATTTGGAACTATAAACAAGCAAAAAAAATGTAAAATATTAAATGTGAAAATCTAAAGTTGGATCCACTATTGTGACAGCTGTTCGGTTGGACTTTTGATGTCGACGATATTTCATGGAGCTTCGTTGTGTGGAGTAGTGTGGATGTACACGTCATACGCCTCAAGGGCTTCATGTTCCCTCAACATCTTCTTCATCACTTGGACTGCCATTCTTCTTGCAGTCATCATCGCTGTTTCTTTACATTCCAAGGTACGCCCCTCTTTGTTATTCTTCTGTTCATATTACTCCCTCCAATCCTAAATATAATAGTTAGAAAATATTATAAATTCGTTTTGATTCCATATATGTGACCTCACTCTACTTTGTCATCTAAATTTATAATTTTTCTTTAAAATATCCCTATTCATAAAAGAGATTTTATCAAAGAGTAATTACAATAATGCACATGATTAGAAATGATATTTTAGAAAAAATTAACACACATTTATTTTAAAAATTAACTTAATTAATTTTCTTATTATTCACAAATTAGTGATCTAGTCATCATAAAGATATGACAAGATGTTATGTGACAAGAACACACATCAATTAGTAAATATGCTACTTGGCAATTAATATCATGTAGTTTCTCATAATAGTATAATAGTATAATAGAGACATGATTGAGTTATAAATTAATTTAATTTAATTTACAGGTAAATAGAGGACTTTTATCCTCAGGAATTATGGCTTTGTACATTGTTTTCCTCTGTTGGACTGCTATCAGAAGGTAAGTATTAAATCTTTTCATGGTTGCAGCGATGATCTTCTTCTTCTTTTTTCATATTATTTCTTAGTATATCAATATTGATTATTATTAGTATTAATTATTTTTATGGCTTTTCAGTGAACCTATAATTATAAGATGTAGCTCAACGAATCCAGAGAAAGCAAATCATGATTGGATGGCAATAATTGTAAGTCTTCTAACCTTTCATCACTTTTAGAAACCATAAAAAAATTGTTTATAATGATTTTTTTTGGTATTTTATACTTCATATTAAATTTTGGCCAGACACTTTTATTTTATATTGAATGATACACTTATAATTTCATAAATACTTTGAATTTTTTTTTTATAGGGCTTCCTAATCGCTGTCTTTGCCATTGTGTTGGCAACATTTTCCACAGGAATTGATTCCAAATGCTTTCAGGTGCATTACTCTATTCTCCACTAATAGGAATTCAAAAATGAATTTTTTTTTTAGGTGAAAATTCAAAAATGAATTTTTGTATTATAATAATTACTATTTCAATATTAAACAAATTAAGGATACGTTTAGACCCAACACATGTTTGGATTTAGTGGGAAATCAAAATGAAAAGGGAATCAAAGCTAAATAGGCCATTTGGTAATGCAACCCAGGAGGTTTCATGGGGGGAAGGCGCAGAAAATATGTGAAAATGATCAAAATGTTCTAATTATACCACAATTTGAGATTTGACGCCCCAATTTTAAAAAATGGTAAATATCATCTAGCAGTATAATCTTATGAGAAATTATTGCATAAACCCACTATGCCACCTCATTTATGCACTGACCAATAAAATTTTGACATCTCAAGTATTTTTTTTTTATCCCAATGTCGCTCCGCATGTTACTGCTCTCTCTCTAATTATTTTTTAGAAATATGTTGTTTTTTTTAATCCTCTCCTACTCTCTCTCTCTCTCACATCTGAAAAATCTTTTCAAAAACTTTCCCTCTCACAATTACCGCCATCTACCAGTAGTTCCATCTCTCTACCCCCATCAAGCTACTTTCTCTCTTCGCTTCCTCTTCACCCCACTTCAATCGATCTCCTCCAACGGCCACTGCACCATCTTTAACTTTGCCGCCATTTGCACCAAGTCTTCCTTCAGGACTTTCATCTTGTTCTTCTAGCTCGTGTTTTGTGACAACCGTTCTTTCAAAACCGTTTTAGATTAAATCCAACAATTTATTTGAATGATTAACCATGATAGAAAAGAAGAAACCTTAAAATTTTAAAATCACTATCATGGTTAAAAGAAATAAACTTATATTACGAGCAACATCGATCGTTAGTTTGAGCCTTGGACTTCCAAAGTCCAAAAACATCATTCAACCATTAGCCCAAACCAAACTTATATTTTCCAAACATACAAACTAATAAATCAATTTAATATAAACTATAGAGCTCATTAGTCAAAAGTCAACACTTTCAAAGGAGTGTTACATGCAGAGTGTAGGATGTCTCGGGCCTCCTCGCGGCCCTATCATACCAAATAGTAGTAATTAAAAGTATTATTTTACAACATGATAGTAGATGAGCCCTATATGGCAATATATAACAAGTCAACACATAGAACAAAAGCAGAGAGGCTATACAAGCTATAACAGCACACTATGTCTCCAGAGCCTTCCCTGATGAGCCACCACCTGAACTATCACCTAAAGATAGTAAAAACCACAGGATGAGACAAACGTCTCAGTAACCAACTTTCTAACTCATCATACATACTAACACGTGCTCGTGAGGTGTCAAGTGGGACAGTTAATAATTCTCCAGAAATATAAATATATCCATCGAAATATAATTTCAATCATCCAAACCCTCACTATGGGGCTAACACACAAGCCACATAAGTATATCCCTCACTATGGGGAGATCAATCAGACATATAGGCCTATCCTTCACTTTGGGAGACGAATAAAAAGCCACAAAGGCCTATCCCTCACTATGGGGGAAGAAGAAGAAGCCAACTAATGTGCACAAATGGCGGCCTTACCACATGATAGGATAGGGCTCAATCCAAAATCCAAGTAACAACCAATCATTCACAGTACAATAAAAATATCTCAATCTTTTCTCAATGTAATCATAAGATATAAATCATATATCTTTCCCAACTTCTTCATCACAATTCCAAAAATCCCACAAGACAATTTTTTATAGCTCAAAAGTTATAATACATCTACTCGAGTTCTAAATAACAAATACTATTCTAAAATAGCAAAATACTACAAACAATATATTAGCACATATAACAAGTGGAAAGTGTTACCTCTCGCCAAAGCAATAAAAAGGATTACCACAAGGTCAATCTTTTGCTCAATCAATAATTAATCTACACAATTAATAACAACGTATTAATATAAGCTAATTAATTAATTAATTAATTAATTAAGCTTATATATTAGTTAGATTTCTACTTTAATTTAATCTTTATTCTAAATTCCCACAACTCTCATAACCCAAATTTAAGTATTTTAGAAATAACTTAAAATTTTCTAAAAGCCAAATTATTTATTTACAACCTCTGAATTACTTACCTTACTAAAAAGAATTTTCCAAAATTTTCAAATATAAGATTATTATGTTCTAAATTTTCAAAATCTCATTTTAAGTTTAAATCTCAAAATCAAACTATCAAAAATTCAATAATACTTCAAATATTTATAAATAAATAATATAATCAAAACTTTAATGGTATAACTACCATATATATATTTCCATAAATAATAAACTTTTTAGCTACAATAATTATTTTAAAACCTCCAGTCACCCAATAAATAAAACTAAACCAATTAAAATCTCAATAATATGTCAAATAATCCAAATAAATTATTTAAATTAAATTTAATCGGTAAAAATATGGTATATCCCATAAATAACAGATTTTCAACTAAAAATTAATTTAAATACTAAACTAACAGATAGACAAATCTAAACTAATTAAAATTAACAACTCATTTACTTCTAAATTTCTATAATCATCTTTTGTCAAAACTCAATACTTATATCATATATAAGTCTCAAAATTTTCTCTAATTACTATAGTAATACTGTAAATAGGAAGCTCAAAATATACAGAAAATATTCATAAAGAAAGTTTGATAAAAAAAAGTAATTTTATATACCTAAATTATCTTCAAAGCTTTCTTTACGAGGACTGTTGCTATGCTCTTTCTATTTCTCTCTTGCTCTCTTCTCTCTTCCTTCTTTCTCTCACACACCTCACCTTTTGCCTCCTACTCTCTTATATTCTCCAATTCCAACCACCCTTCACTGTTTTTCCTCCTTGCATTAACTCTTCCTCCCATAAATCTTCCTTCTCTCCCCCAAAGTCTTCTTTGTTAGTCAAGGGGCTCAACTTTCCACCAAATTCGGTGGAAAGTTACCCCCTATATATATAATATACTACCTCCGGGCCTTAATATAAGACCATGTTTGACTTTTATTTTGGTCCTAAATATAAGACCCCAATCCACTTTGTCTCTCATATTTATACATTTTTTTCAAAGTAGCCCTTCTAATAATAAGAGTTATGGTCAATACACTTGATTAGCAAGGATATTTTAGGAAAGATAATACCTATTTAGGACAAATAACTAACTCAACTTACTTCCTTAATCTCCTCAAATTAGTCAACTGGCTCTTATAATTAGGACCGGAGGTAGTATATATTAATATATTAAAATATTATCATTTTATTACAATAATAAAATATTATTTTTTTTACCTAAATCCTAAAATTAATTTAGGATATTACATGTTTGAACACATTCAACCACACTACACATTCAAACTCATGAATACGAAGGCACAGAATAGGACCCCTACCATAGCAATGATTGAGGGCCCCAGTTCTAGTGGGACGTCGACATCGATAGCATAGCAAATTGCACAGCAGCGCATAGTGAAGAGGGGGAGGAGATGGAGAGTAGGAATTGAATAATTTGAATCATTCAGGTTCAGAAGAGGAGGAGGGAGTAGAATTAATCATTATTAATTAGTAACAATTTATTATGAAAGGAAAATGAAAGGAGAGGGGATTCCATTGACAGGGAAATAGATGGAGAGTAGCATGGTGAAGGAAAAGAGGTGGGAGGAGTGGCTATAATTGTGAGAGGGAGAGTGAAAGGTTTTGAAATAATTTTGCAAATTAGAGAGAGAGAGAGTAGGAGAGAATAAATAAGCATCTATTTCTAAAAAATAATTAAAATAATAAAGAGAGGGGTAGTGACATGTGGGCTGACACATGAGATAAAAAATAGTCAAAATTTTATTAGTCAGCATATAAATTAGGTGGCACATTGGGTTTATGCAAGAATTTCTCATAATCTTATTTCCTAATAGCATTTTGCATCTTAATCTTATTTATAGTGCAACCAGCAAGGGTGCTTATTGTAACAATGGTTCATTCTAAATTGACTACTAGCATTTTTAAATCATCATTTAATAATACTAACCATGGTAAAGGAAAACAAAACTTAGTATAACATTTAAAAAGGCAACCATAGTTATAGAAGAAGCTTGAATCACAAGAAAGGTTAACCATAATGGAAAAGAGTTAAATTGATTCTTGAAAACAACTATCATGGTTAAAAGAGATAAACTCATCTTTTAATATTTATCCATGATAGAAAAGAATCAAAATAAATATTTAAAAGCTATCTTGGATATTAAAGTTTTATTACAACAGTTACATGCAAACTAAAAGTAACAATGTTCCACAATAATTGGACCTTGGGTATTACAAAGCCCAACATGTCACATTCAGCTACAAGCCCATAATAAGATATTTCCTAGATAATACTTTTTATAACTTCCCAAAGTAATAGTACTCCAATATTTTTGAAAGACACTATGGATTCATAGTTTACAAACATATGTGAATACCTAAAGGCCACTAGCCTTCTACCAGTATATAATTCAATAACAATTTATCAAAAGTATATAGTTAATACAAACATTTTGAAATAAATTAGAGTATGCAAAATGAACCATATATGACTAGATACAAATATCCATACATAACAAAGAGGAGGCTATACAAGATTAACTTGATAGCTAAGCCTTTGACATCTTCCTTGATGGACCAACCCTAGAGTTGTCTCCTTACAATGTAAAACCATAGGATGAGACAAAAGGCTCAGTAACTAACAATCCTACTTATCAGATATACAAGTAAATGCTTGGATGTATGAAGTGAGACAATTACAAAAATCATAACATTTATAGTTGTCACATGGTTACACATATATCAAAGTATAATATTTTAATATCAATTCCACCTTATTTTCTCTAAGTAAACCCAAATGCTAGTACTCATCCATGTGATTGGTAGCTCAACACAGCAAGCTTACCAATCAAGTGATGTAAACTTACCAAAATTCATAAAGCACAAGACGAGATCATGTGTTTCCATTTTAGTCCACTAGTAGGGTGTCATATGCCTTAAAATGCGCCAAAGGATCAACCAATACATACCTAGAAGTCCACGACCTCGTTTCCTCTTTTGTATACAATATTCCATCCTCTTATTTCCTCTTTAGTATACCTTCTATCAAAACAACATTCATCATCCCCTTTTATCATTACTCAATATATTTATACAATAATTATTCATCAACAAGATAATCACTTTTCACATTTTTTTGCCAAAATCAACAATTCCAATTTTATTTATCAAGATCAATTCATATAACCATTTCTCAATAAAATCATGCCCCACAAGATAAGTTTATAAAAATCATAGTTTCATTACTATATCTTATTAGCATCTCTTTCAATAATAATATAACTCATGGCTCAAATAATAGTCCAATGGCATTTTGACAAATTTAATGTAATCCAAAATCACTCACAACATCATACAAGTATACACAAAAAGTGTAAAGTGGTTACCTTTCACCAAAGTTGTATACTACCACAATCAAACTAAGCCTCGTGCTCAAACTAATAAATTATGATCAATCTACAATATAATAATCACAAGTAACCACATTAATTCACAATTAATAAAGTGGTTCACCACAAACATAAAGACTCAATGTTCTTCTAGAACACAACTCTTGCCATAATCATAACCTAACCATTCCAATACTAAACTTACAATCCTAATAGCTTAGTTGACTCATCTAAATCATTTATTCACATCTAATTACTCAATATGACCAAAATCCCCATTTTCACACTTAGGTTCTAAGCCTCAAAATACGTTTGAGAATTTCAAGCTCTATCAACAATCTAAATCAATTAAACATTAATTCTAATGCCCAAGCTTCAAACTTCAATTCAAACCATCATATATTATCATAACTTAACAAAACCTAACTCAAAAATCAAACCCTAGTTGAAAACTCTATATAACTTCAAATCCAACAAAACTAAATTAAAATTTTAATATAGTCCATATAAGTCTTTTAAACTTAAAAGGTTCGGTGAAAACATTAGCTTATTCAAGAATCATCATAAACTCTTGATTTTAACTATCTCAAATTTGAGAAATCTAGGAGGAAATGATAGAAATGAGGTTAGGAATGGTTACTTTGATGTTTAGAAGCTCAAATATACTCTCCCAAGTCGAAAACACCAAATCATAGTAGAGTCCCATGAGTTCTCCTCCCAAAACCTCCTAAAAATCGTGTCTAAAATTGATTTATAAAACAAGATTTTGACGCATTCACTACAAGAACGTCTAGTGAACATCTAGCAAATGACACAATGAATCTCTAGTGTTTGCTATAGCGAATGTTCTCTAGTATTTGTTATATCGAATGTTCTCTAGTATTTGTTATATCGAATGTTCTCTAGTATTTACTATAGCAAACATCTAACGAACAATATAGATAAAAAAGTTCGGTTTCAAAAATTCATAACTAAATTCATGAATCTCCAAAAATATAAACTAGGCTTCTTTGAAAACTTTGAGATGTCTAGTTTTTCAATGCAAAAAAGAATCATTCATAAATATTATCATTTGGGCCTTGAAAATGATGATTTACCAAAACTACTCAAAAGGTCTAGAGATATTGCTCTCAATCATCATCCTTTATATTTTTATGTCTTAATTAATTTCAAAACTAAAAGATTAACCAACTTAATTATCCAAATCCAGGCTTAGTAGTATCTAAACCTCATGATTAAAAACCTATCATGTTATTCTCACGTTGGCCCGTCTAGCACCCCTTGATGTTATTTTCTTAGTGCTTGCATCTAGCACCTCCTAATGTACCAATTATAGCACTGAATCTTATTTATGGTTTAGAGTGTTGAATATGAGCTGGGGGTGTCAGCTGCCCCTTAATTTTGGGACTCTTTCTGAATGTTTTTTTTCAGAGCTTCTTCTTATCATTTTATTCGACATAAAATGAGTGATATTTTGATATCTTATTCACAAAGAATAGTCTAGTTTTCAATTTTTTATAATTTTTTAAAGATTTTTTTACACTAAATGGTTCGGTTTCTTTTTAACTTGGAGTATTAAATCTTTGAAAAATCATAAGAAATTGAAAACTAAACTATTTTTTGCAAATAAAATATCAAAATGTCACTTATTTTATGTAGAATCTAATGATGAAAAGAAGTTTTAAAAAATATTTAGAAAGAGCCCCAAAATTATGGGGCAGCTAATACCCCAGCTCACTGAATACACTATAAATAAGACAGGTGCTGAAAGGTAAAAGTACTGAAAAAGTAACATCATGATGCTAGATGTAACATACATAAGATTAAAATATTACATGTAATTGGAAAATGACAATATTGGGTTACGGGAACTGGATTCTAAAACCCAAAAAAAAAAAAAACATAAGATCAAAGGCCTCGACTTTATGGGCTAAAAAAAATCCTATTATGAGAACTATTTAAAATAATCTAACGATACTTTATTTAGCTCAATAGTACCGGATACAAGACAGCTTTTTCTCTGTGTAAATCTGGCCAAGTAAATCAATTTAAAAATTCCCTACGATCAATGTAAATTTAATGATTTGCCTAATTTCATTTGTTTTGAATTTGATTTGCAGTTTCGAAAAGATGAAGTGGAAGAGGAGGATGATATTCCATACAAATATGGATTTTTTCACCTGGTTTTCTCCTTAGGAGCTATGTACTTCGCTATGTTATTCATTAGTTGGGACCTCAATAATTCTCCCACCAAGTAAGCATTTTTCATTCATTTTTCCACTTTATAAACATACTACTTCTATGTAAAACATAGAGAACTTATTTACAGAAATTAAAAAAACTAGTTAAATTAGTTCTTTATAAAAAAAAATGTGTCTTAGTTTTATTAAAGTACCCCATCTAATCATTTGTATTGAAAAATACCCACATTAATGGAAACTCCTAAAAAATGTGCAATTAATGAGAATAATTTAAAATAAATAAATTTGGGAGATAAAGTGTGTATTGAGATTTTAAATTTATAACTAAAACAAACTCCTCATGTAACTCTTACATTCAAGACAGGAGGGATTTTTTTTTTAAGATCAACCAAAATTTGATAAAATCAATCAATAATGGCTTAAAAATGCAATATCATCAATTTTTTGTTTTATATAAACGTAAAAAATAGACCGATTTAACTACGTATCTTTTTATTATAATTAAATCAATAAATTTTGAACTAGTATGTTCTCTTCGGTCTAAAGAAAGAAATTCGTACCTATTGCCTATAATTTAACTATTAGTTCTTTTTTAAAGCATGTAATATCATTAATTTGTTGTTCCATAATAAAACAAATTTTAATAAATTCGAACCATGTAACTGATTTTAGCATTTTTTATATTAACAAAAGCATATCTTAAAAAACTTGTTCGTTAATGAAATAATTAGGGCTTATTGAAAATAATTATATAATTATATTATTTCAGAATAAGAATTGAAAAAAAAAAAACGTATTAAACACTTATGATTCTTGGTAAACAGGTGGAGCATTGACGTAGGGTGGCTAAGTACATGGATCAAAGTTATGAACGAGTGGTTTGCAGCCTCTTTTTATTGTAAGTCCTTACTTTTGTCCATTTATGTATATGTGTGCAGTTTATTATGAGATCCTTAATTGTGTGTTTAATATGTATGTGTGTCTATAGAATATATATATATATATATATATATTCTGCATATATCATTTTTTAATATAATAAGCATTGCCTCATCAGTCAAATAAAATTGAATAATTGGAAATAGAGGATCTTCCGTTTAATTTTTATTTCTGAATTCACACAAAAATTTAACTATTTTTAATTTTAACGACAAAATTAGCATGTAGATATTTATAATTTTTTTTCATTTTTAATTAAGTCGTTATAGTATATTTTTCTTTTTGATTAGTCTCTCACAGTTTTCTCAATTTTCTTATACTTATAATTCGTGATAACTTATTAAGAAAACAACATTTCGGTCAAATTTATTTTCTTGTATTAAGAAAACAACATTTTGTAGTTGATGATGTCAGCACACATTTAAATTAATTTTGCCACACGAATATATATAAAAATATCAAAATCAATCAAATTATAAATTATATATAAATGCAAAGAGGATAACTATTGAATTTATTGAAAATAAATAAAGTTGTATTATCATTTTATTTTTTTCCAAAAAAACTCTTTTATTTTGTATTTTGTGACAACATAACTTACATGTCGAATAGATAACCCTAATTAAGGGCTATACATGGATAGGGTAAGGTGAGACAAGACCCATGCCTTGTTTGAAAGATAAACGGGTTGTATTTTGTAACCTACTGCTCGACCCTCCCTAATGAAAGCCTGAGCAATTTTAGGCGAGGTTGGGCAAGGTGGACTTCCTTGCCCAATTGGTGACATGTTATCCATATTATGCGAAAATCTCCACCAAGCTTAACAAATGATATTTGGACTCTAAATATATTTTATAATTTCAAAACTTAAAATATTCTGAGAGAAGAAATATAAACACTATACAAAGTCTACATATCATTTATCATTCCATATTTCCTTATAGAACAATACTTACATCAAATTTCTTATACACATTATGTCAAGTTTTTCAATCACACATAATCATGTGTCTTATTTTTAAAATATTAGCATTTAATGACATTTACTTATAAATCTACATAAAACAAAAATGGATACATGGCCATGTATGATTGAAGAACTTAATATAATAGATATAAGGAACTTGACAAAGTTTACCGCTTACTTATAATTACATAATCAAACACAACATAATAGGTCTTTATGCAACATCTATGATCATATATGTCAACAACTTAAGCCTTGAAATATTTCATTCTACCGTATATGTATATTACATGTATATATTAAATACAGTTATATTGCCTCTGGTCCTAATTATAAGAGCTAGTTGACTAATTTGAGGAGATTAAAGAAATAATTTAAGTTAGTTATTTGTAATAAATAGGTGTTGTCTTTCTTAAAATATCTTTGCTAATCAAGTTTATTAGCTAGAACTACCATTATTAGAGGAACTATCTTGAAAAAGAATGCACAAATATAAGAGACAAAATAGATTGGGATCTTATAATTAGAACCAAAATAAAAGTCAAACAAGGTCTTATATTAAGGACCGAAAGTAGTATATAATAAATATATATATGTTATATATATTAAATAGAATTGTATATATGAACTTTGGACAAGACCAAATGGATACGGCAGCATACTTTGCTTGATGCCTAGCCCTGCTAGACATTTGGTCCCAACTAAAAATGCACAATTATTTTTGGGCTGCTTTTTAGGGTTGGGATGGGCATAATTTTAGCAGGCTCATGGGCATTCCAGGCCTTTGGGCCTTATGAACATCCCTAGTATAGGGACTAAGGTTTACAATGTGAAAACTATAAGGACTCAATCAAAGATTAAAAAATATATATATATAAATACCCAATTAAAAATAAAAAAATTATAAGTACTAACAAATTACTTCTTTTTTTATATTTTCCGAATTTATAGCAATTAAAAGTGTGTGTATCAAATATAAAATGAATTATATTTTATACATTAATAATATTAATTTTGAATATATTAAATATATGTTTTCAATATTAAAATACTACTGTCGGTTTTACATTTAGGAAGGATGGGAGAAGTATTATTTTGAATCTGCTTTTAAATTTATGCCACTATTATATCTATTTTGTCTGTGCGTGTGTTTCTAACACGAAGTTGCATACTTGCATTATTGACAAGTTGTCTGGCTTATTAGATAGAGACGCCCCCATACACGAATCTTGCCCTCTAGATATATTATAATGAGAAAAATAAAAAGATATCACTTAAATTTCAAAATTTCAAAAAATAAATTATTATAAAAATATGGTATTATTTACTTTTTCAAGTGTAGTTAATTGTTATTAAAGTTTAAGAAATGACGCACATTTAAAATTTTGAAATTTAAATAGTATTTTTTTGGAATTTTTCCAAAATGATTTTCTAAAATATTTTGAAAGCCTATATATGAAGAAAGTCACATGAATCAAGTATTAAATGTATAACCGGTAATGAGTTGAATTTAACCAAAAAGACTAGTCATTTACAATATGACAAACTAATGGTCGAATTCCTACTAGAAAAAATATACATATTTAATACCCAATAATACTTTTAATAGGATTGTCTCTAATACGAGTATACTTATGCGTAGCAAGACAATGTATGATCCAATAGAATAGTTTATTTTTCTACTAATATAACATTTCAATCTACTTTGTCTTGTAAATTTATAAAAAAAATTTCTAAGTTATCGTTATTAATTACATATATTAAAAGGGACTTTTATTAACAAAATGAGTACTTTAGAAAAACTAACATATATTTGTTACAAATAATTAATTTAATTAATTTTTTTAATATGTATATTAGTTATCTAACTTCTAGGGTAATATTGATTCTTTTTCCCTTTCATTTTTTTCCTATAAATTGCAAGAACAATTTGATTTTCATGGGTGTACGATTAGATTTTTCTTTGCTTATGTTGGTTTGTTGCAGTATGGATGTTGATTTCTCCTGTGCTGCGACAAAACAAAGTGACAAACAACAACGAATCTGTACAACAGGAGACGCCGCACTCAGCCATGGTCTAATCTTTTTTGGATTATAATTGCATAAATTGTTACATAGAAAATTTCATTTTTGTTTTCTCTTGATATCTATGGCGTAAAAATCAGTGAGATTAGTCTCTCTCTCTCTCTCTCTCCTCTCTCTCTCCCCCCCCCCCGGCTCTTAAATTGTGTGGGTGGATGGGCTGGCCGGGTTATCGGTTTAGGCATTCAAACATTTTTGTAACTATCTTTTTAAAATTTTTACTTGTTCGTACAAAATGACACCATTTTCGGAAAAAAATTTTCTTCTCATCATGTTTTAATATTTTTATAAGGATTGTTTTCACATAATTCTCTCACAATTTATCAAGATATAAAATACTTTAGATCGAGAACCAGATCCATAGATCACCCCAATAATTAGGCCTTTTTCGTTGAGGTGACAATGGAGTAGTTCATTATTGATCACACTTTCTTTTGTCATTGAGGATTTTGCTCTTACGTGTTATTAGAATTTTTTTTAAGATTTAAAATTTTGAAGCAAGAATAACACATTAAATTGGAAGCATGAAAGAGTGGAAACACGTTTTCATCAAAAGGGGAATATAATGCATTAAGTAGGAATTTAGTGTGAATTTTTTTTAATTATTGCTTTCTAACTCCTGTAAAACCAACATATGTTATCTTCCTTTTCTTTAAAACAATGTAAAAAAAAATAACTTCGCTGCTAGTCTGTTTTGCGACGAATTGACAAATTTTGTCGATAAATTTTATCACTATGCATGTTTTATTAGGGGCTATTTGGATAAAACTAATTTATGATATGAAAAATAAATTCCGGGAAAAAGGTTATTTTGAAAATAGGTTTTGGAAGAATAGATTTTATGAAAAAAAAAAAAAGCGATTTCGATAAAATGAGAGTGTTTGGATAGTTTTTATAAGAAGTACCTTTTTCATGTACAAATTATTAAAAAGAACATAAATTAATATGATAATTACATATAAAAGATAGATTGTAATTTATATTTTTTATTTGAAGTACTAAATTTATTAATAATATATATTTTTGCCAACATAATAAATAATATATAAAAAATATAATTAATTCATAATTAATATGGGTATATATTTATAAAAATATAAGATTAAATATGTTTTTAGAAAAATGATTATTTTTTTACTAACAGAAAACTATTATTTTACCTTAAAGATTTTAAACATGAGCTATTATTTTTGATAAAGGGTATTGCTGTACTACACATACCATGTTGGCCAACCTTTGGCACTGCAATGACTACGCAATGATCACATTTAACCCTCTAGAAAGCAAAAATTTTTTTTGTTTCTGGTGAAACCATGGTTTAATTGGGTCAGATCATAGTCTTGATGCCAAACCATAGTTTCATAAACATTTGAAGCTTGTTTGAATACTTTTTGGACCCAAGTGCAGTTTGGACTCCAAAACAAAACTGTTGATTATTTAATTTTATAAGAGATAGCAAGATTCAAAGTACTAAAACTTCACAAGTTTCTAAATCTTCCCTCACTGCGTTAAATCCTTCAACTCGTTCATTGTGATGTAATTTGCAATAAACCTTATAAAACAATCTTTTTATTAGTTTTATTAAGTATTATCAAAACTAGTTGATTCAACGTTAATGCATAGATTTGGCCCTTTATCCAGTTGACCATGGAGTAGTTGACTATAGGTCGAACTTTCTTCTGTCATCAAAAGGGTTTTTGTTTTTCTTAATTTCTGAATACAAAGACTAGTTGACCACGGAGTAGTTGACTACAAATCTCACTTTCTTTTGCCACATCAAGGATTTTGCTCTATTTCGCACCTGCTGCTCTCACGTGTCATGAGCCTACTTCCTTCCACTCTCATGGCACATTAACAATTTAATATACACATTACCTCTGATATTTAATATAAGATTTAGTTAATTAATTTAGAGAGATTTAAAAAGTTACTAAATTACTTACTTTTAACCTATATTACATAATCTCTTTAAAATACTTACGTGTATCATTATATTATATATCAATTTATAACTGAGTCAAATTAGTCAAAATATAAATACTTTAAAGTAATTTAAGTAATTTTTTCAAATTAATCAACTGAACACTACGTACTTCCGATCCTTAATGCAAAAGTTCGTTTAATTTGACTTTTATTTTGGTCCTAAATATAAGACTCTAATTCATTTTGTCTCTCATATTTATCTATTTTCTTTCTAAGGTAGTTCTTGTAATAATAGTAGTTCTAGCCAATATATTTTATTAGTAAAGATATTTTAGAAAAAATAATACTTATTTATTATAAATAACTAATTTAATTATCCTTTTTATCCTATTTATAATAAACTAGCTCTTATATTAAGTACTCCAGGTGATATCAAGGACTAGAGGTAGTGCATATGTGTGTGAATATATTAGTCTATCGATCATAACCGAAACATTTCCCAATTTAGTGGTGCTGATCGATGCAACAATTTGACCATGAAACACCAAAGCTGATGGAAAAACAATATTTTAAACACCCATTGGTCATAATTTTGACCGTGAAAAATATTAAAATTATTTGAAATCTCTTCTAACCACTATTGTCTTACATTGTTTTTTCCCCTTTAATTACAACAACTCCTCCAATTCACTTTTGTTCCAGCAAATTCAATTCCCTCCCTAGCTTATATATATAACCCCAACATTCCAATTCCATGCATACAAATTCATCCAAACACAGGAATATCACAAAAACTTATACAACCTTCATTAATCTCTAAAGGAAATATATAATCATGGAGTTCTTCTTCTTACCATCTTCTTCAAAGTCCCTCGTGCTGTTATTGTGGTTGCTTGCTTCAGTTCTTTCGGCGGCGGTGGCCATCAGAGCTGATAAAGAGAGCGTGATAGAGATGTACCTTCATGATATTGTGGGAGGTAGTAACCCTACGGCTCGTCCTACAACAGGCTTATTGGGAAGCATTTACAGTGGTCAAGTGCCATTTGCGAGCCCTGTAGGTTTTAAGACTCCAGAAGGAGGAATCCCAATTCCTAATGCCAATGGTGCTCTTCCCACTGTTAATGGAGTTACTGGTATTCCCTTGGCCTCTGGTTTATCTGGTACTACTTTTGCAGGTAATTGCACTTTGGATCTTTAGGCAAAATTATTAGTTGAAAGAACCTAATGTGATCAATATAAATATATATATATCGTTTGTGAATTCTCATGTGATATTTTTAGCTTTTTGAGTTTTAATTAAATTCGTTTTCCAAAATTTTTATAATCGAGTAATAACTCAAGCAATTCGGGTTTACTGTTAGTATATTGGTTATTTAATTTCATTTACTCACCTCTCATATAAGATTGACGATTGCTATTTATATATATATATATATATATATATATATGCAAGATGCATCTTTTATCCTAAATTTGATAAAATTAAATTTCTTAAATTTATCTATAATGTCGAAACTAACACAAAACATTTCTTCAACTTCTGTAACCATCATGCATTTTTATTTTGTTTTTTTGGAATAAATACAAATTTTGTTTAAAAAAATAAAAATTTGTAATTTCAACAAACGTTGTGGTAAGTGTTATTTACTTTGTATTTTGATGGGAAGTTTGTTTTATTTTAACAAAATTAAGAGAAGATTATATCATCTCCTTTTTTGTTTTAGGAAGAGGTCACAGCAATTTTTTTAAAAAAAATGGCACGTGATTTCCTTGAATTTTGCTAAACTGTGTGTATGTAATTTGTAAATGTCAGTTGAATTGCACCCAAAAATTTAAATCGCTGACAAATCCCCATTTTGTTAAATTGTTTCCACTTGTAGGTAACAGCCAAAACAACCTGCAGAGCCAGATAGCAGCTGATGGACTAGGGTTAGGGTTTGGAACAATAACAGTGATTGATGATATTCTCACATCACAACCAGAGTTAGGCTCACAAGCAATTGGAAGAGCTCAGGGAATTTATGTGGCAAGTTCAGCAGATGGAAGCAGACAGATGATGGTGTTCACCGCCATGTTCGAAGGTGGTGAATACGGCGATAGCTTGAACTTCTACGGCGTTTATAAAATCGGAAGCACCATGTCACGGCTTTCGGTCACTGGTGGGACCGGTAAGTTTAAGGATGCAAGAGGGTTTGCAGAAGTGAGGTCTCTTATTCCTCCAGGACAGATTGCCACTGATGGTGCAGAGACATTGTTGAGAATCATTGTTCATTTGAATCACTACTAGAAGCTGTGTTTGTGTTGGATGATTGTGTTTTCTTCTTCTTAATTCTTCTTCTTTTTTCCCCTTTAATTTGGTGGAAATTCGATTGTGTTTTTTGTCATTTTGATTATATTGGAGAATGTACTTGAAATCTTGTACGCTCCACACACAATAACGTAGTCGTTTCTCTAATATTTTTATGGAACTTTAGGGTTTTGTTGGCACTGTTTGCTGATCATTACAAGTTAGGGCTTGTAAAATATTGTCATTTCCAAGTCAAAATCTTAATAAACTCTTCATGCATTTGTTCTATAATTGAGGCTCGATTTACATTACATTGTCATCATATGACTCATCTTTATGTCTCTGCCCCTCTATTCTCTCGTGCTTGTATTTTCTTCTCACTATTTTCTCGTCACGATCTAAACAAAGAAAAAAAAAATTTTCTTTCGTTTTTCTTAGCAAAAAGTATATTTGGTGGTTCTTTAAGTTTATTCAAAGTTTTATTTTGCTCATCTTTATAAAATGCCCTTTTTTTGGAGAAAAAATTGAATACCATTAAACAGAAACCAAAATTAAAATTTTAACGGGTGATAATGCATTCCCAAACTCAAATATTGACATGTTAAGTTTAATTTTTATAAAAAAATAATTATTTGAGAATAATGTATAAAACTCGAAATATACTCTATAAATTTAAGAGATCAAACTGAAATATTATGAAGTTATAAGATTTTCCCTTTTGTTTTAAGTTTTTCTCTCCTTTAATTTTCACTCCATCCAAACATAAGTTACATATTGTGGTGTGTCTTG